TTAAACTCATTGGGAAACGCATAACCTTTTCTATCGGTTTACATGATGAACAAAAAGAAACCAATGGTGGTGTTCCACCGAGAATTCTCAAATTATTCGAATGATTAAGCTCACTCATATCAGTTGAATATATTGGTAGCATCAAAATCCCTCTTGTATTAAAGTTTTTTCTGTTACCAACAGTCATTTTTTTATTAACGTGTTAAAGTCCTTACAGGCATTGAAGTACATCGCTATTAACCATCATGGATCTGCGAAATTCATGCTAAATGTTGATGCCATCAGGTTCTTTCTTCTGTTGGTGCATAGAAACCTTGCTTCATCATAAAGGTTCATTAATGGTTTGGTCACGTTTGGGTAGACCCAATTTTTGCAATATTTGAGGATATGAGTAATGATACACTAAGGTTTGAACCCATACTACCATTCATCAAACAGTATATTCTTTGGTGGAGAGTTGTCTTATTATTCTTCTCTTGGGGCTTTGAGTTTGGACGATCTGATCTAGATCATTGTAAACAACTCCTGTATGCAGTATATTCTGTTGTCTGTTCTCTGGGTTAATGTTCGTCATTTATTGAATATTTTTTGTTCCTATCAAACTTTGTATATTTCGTTAACATATTCCTTATCTGCCTTCTTCCCTAACTCATCGTTAACATATGTTTTATCCGCTTTAAGGTCTAAACATCCTGTATCAGCTTTAGTTTTTAAAATCTTTGATGTCCATTCATGATACCATTCAACCATTTCTTTAATTTCATTATCTTTTTCATCCACATATTCCTTATCTGTCCTCTTCTTTAACTCACTATCCACATATTCCTTATCTGCCTTCTCCATTATGTCATTTAGGAAACCTTTTATGAATTCCTCATTTAAATTAAATCTTCCAATCTTCAAAACTTTAGGAAATGCATTTAATGCGTAATATCTCTGTTCTTCTGGTGGAATTGATGTTATATCATCCGTTATTCCTTTAATTTTTGAATTCATAAATAAAATTTCTTTTATATTTGATATCACTGCACCACCTTTGCAAACGAATTCGAAATGTTCATTTTTCAATACTATCTCCAAATCTCCATATTTCAACCTTTGCGTTTGTTCTGCCGTCTTTGAATTATATGCATATATGGCGTATGTAATGGTCTGAGGGACCTGGGTGCTTTGTGCCTTAAGTTGTGTGGTTGCTGTTGTTTAATCATTTATTATGATTTAAAAATAAATATTTAATCCGTTATCTCATCACCTATTTTTTCTATTTGAAATTGCCATAATATTTCATTCATGAATTCTAAATCACAATCAAATAGGTCAGTTACTCTAAATTTAATATTTGATAAATCTTTTGAATGAAGAATAAATGAATTCCCGGATAATTGAAACGGATATGATAAAGAAAATGTGTTTAAGTTGATGGATAAAATGTTTTGTATTGATGGGTAAGAGTTAGGGTCTAATGTTTGATGTGAAAATCTCATTGGGGTATTAACTTTATCACATTTGATTAAAATGAAATTGGAACCAGTGTCAGAATACAAAACATCCCCAACATCTTTTTCAAAATTTAATATTCCCAACAATGAACGAAGATGAGGAGTACAAAATTTAATTTTCAGCGGAAATTTAATAAGGTTATTTATTTCATCAAGTTCAAAAAGTTTATCGGGTTTTGATTTAAAATTTTCTTCATACCATACGATAAATGATTCATTTAAATAACTTAAAATCATGTTAATATCCCATTTCGCTATCACATTATTTATATACATATCATACGTTTTTTCATGGTCATCTTTAATAAATGATATATAATCTGAAGGGTCTAAAAGAATGGGATTAAATTTACCACTCACAGAAACGAGAGTAACATTATAAATTCCGCTAACTGTTAAATTTAATTCACAGTTATTATTCGAAATAATATTGATAATTGACATTTTTATTACGATTAAAAATATGGTAAAGCGTTATTTTCCAGTGATAAAAAAACTAGGATAAGATTACCTCAAGAATTCATAAATTCAACGAATAAGAAATTCATTCATGTTATAAATTTTAGTGTTTTCAGAAAATATGAGTCGATGTCATATTCATCAACAGGTTATATTTCACTTCATTCAAATTTAGTTCAATCAAACCCATATAATGACCATTTCATAAGATTTTCAGATGGTATTAAAAATGTAATTGATAGATTAAAATATGAACAGATTGACAATATCGAATTTTTGGAATTTTGGTTTAAATATCCTGATGGAAAAAAGATTGAAGTTAAAGATAAAGCTGATACTATAACAAAAACAATTACAATGACCGATCCAGATAGTGGGGAACAAAAAGAAATAAAACAAACGATAGAAACTGGTGAAAGGTCAATTATTATTGATTATGATTCAAAGGATTATTATTCAATAATGTTAATGCTTGAATATTAAATGGCCTTAACAAAGAATTTTTCAAGTGATATTTTATATTCATCAACTATTTTATTATAAATATCATTATATGTTAAATGAAGTTCAGTTGTTGTTCCGTTCTTTGATATCTTAATTGTGCTAATATCCTTTATAGGATTTATTTTTGCAACTGTTCCGCAGCATGAAACCTCATCATCTATGAAAAAATTGAATCTTAACGTCTGAATCTTGAACATCACAAAGAATGGCGATAATGTGAATTAATGATTCATAAGGTAAAATAATTAAACCGGATTGATCAATTAAATTTATTATTGAATCATAATTATTAATTATTATATCACGGTAAATTTTCATTAATTCTGAATTAATGTCTATTTTATATGGCGCATTGCGACTGGAATCGTAGATTCCTGGGTTCTCGATGTTTGATGAAAGAGGCGGGGGGTATGTTGGATAAGTGGGAATTTCAACGGGTTCTTTACCAGGTTCAGATAAAATGATTGGGTCTCCATCTTCTTTATTTTGCTCCTCCTCCTTTTTCGGTAAGTCACGAGTTAATAAATTTGGTTGAGTTGCTGACCTTGTTAATTCAGGACTAACATTAACTTTAACATTTTGAATAATTCGTGATTTATCATCATTTACGTTTATAACCAACCGTAATCTCTGCTTTTGCGTTAGTGTTCTTTTGACTAGTGAAACGTCTTCTCATTTATAATCGAATAAAAAAAGAAAAATATATTTAAAGTTTTATTTAGTTGTTACGGTAATATCCCAAGGTTCATCCTTGTTTGCTTATACTTTCTTTGTAACTGCACCAATTATGTTATTGATATTGCTTTGAGTTTCTTCCAGTCTTATTTTATCATTTACAATATCTTTAATCATTTCATTACATGCATTCTTAAAACCATCTGATTTTTCTAATTTACGTCTATCACTTTCTTTAATTAAATCAAAGTTATAACCTTGTTGAGAATAAAGTGGTTTCTTTATCAATTCCTTGAACGCTTCTGAAAGTGAAGATGAAGAAATTCTTGCCACTTGAATTGGTTTAAATTCTGCTTTCATTGCTTCTTTCTGTTCATTGAACACTGGATCGAATAAAGCAACTTTAAAGAATTTCTTAGCTGGAATTTCAGGTCTCAAATATGCATATTGACCATCAAACTGATTAACATATCGTGGTAATCCATCCGGTCCCTCTTCAACAGCATTTAATTTTTCATTGAAATAAGAATATGGAATAAGATGGTATGAATACATTGGACCATTTTCACCTTCTCCAATGTATTGTTTAACAGCTTTTCCATTTTCATCAAATTGCATAGGATAACATTCATTATATGCTTTACGTTTAGGATAATCCGTCATTATTAATTTATACCCATTTATGACTTTAATATTTCCTTGACCATCAGTAACGAAAACTTCATTTATACCATCAGGCTTTCCATTTGGTCCTGTAATGTCTGCTTCATGTGCTTCCCAATTTGGTCCATGACGTTTGGCATATGCTTGAGCTTCTGGTAATGTTAAAACGTTTCTCATTTGTTTAACATCCTTTTGAAGACCGGCAACAATGTGGACTAATTCTTTCATTCCGTCTGGAACTTTCATAGTTCTATTATATGCACCCTTTTTGTTTGTCCCTTGTTTTAATGGAACCTGTAGAAGATTTGCTATTTCTGTCATGTTTAATTATAAATAAAAAATAAAAATTAATTATAAAAAGTTAATCAAATTTAATGGAACCTTTATTTAAATCAACTATTATTTTTCCATGTTCACCTAATTGTTGATATTGTGTGTAAAGTTCATTAATGCTCATTGGTAAATTCACTTGATAAAGCATAACGTTCAACTGTTGACGACTAAACCACTGAAAATGAAAAGTGTTGATAGATTTGATTTAATGTTTGTGCTTAATGCTTTGAAGTATTGAACAGCCATGAAGAATGAACACTGAATGTGTCGACATTGAGTTAATAATTGATTAAAATATGATTTCTCATTAGTTATTAGTTTTGATTTCACGGCATCATCTAGAAAAATTAGTGAATGCAAAAATTCTCTATCAAAATTTGAAATAGAAAGTGTTTCAAATAATTCATCCCTTTGTTTATTAATAATTTTATCCTCTAATCCTTGCTTCTTGATTGTATTATATAATTCTTTATACATTAAAAAGTTTTTTAAATAATCTTCTGCTTCTTCTTGTGATAAATAAATAATTGGAATTTTGATTAAATGCTTTAAAGATTCAAATGTATCATCTGAAGGTGAACCTGAACGGTTGATATAAATTAACACATGTGAATGGGGTGAAGTGTTAGCAATAATGATAATTTGTTTTAATATCGTTAATGTTTTACCTTTATTCTGTTTACCAATTGCTGCAGTGATTGAATTTAAGTAACATTCAGAATATGGAATTTTCATTAATTTTTCCTTAGATAGAGCATTTCTATTATCACTCAATGCTTCATTAATCATATCATCTATGTAGGTATTATATACATCTGTTAATTCTTCAGAATTGAAATCCATTTAATCAAAAATAAATTTATAATTTTAAACATTTCTATTCATCAATATTTCATCATATGAACTTCTATACTGTGGTGGTGTACCTGTTGGATGATATTTCAAACCTTCATCCGGTGTCCATGTCCAATACGTAGTCCTAGTAAACCAAACCTGAGGAGGATTTGTCACTTTTGAACAGTAAGTGTCATTTTCACCCTGAATGATTGGATAAGCTTTCACTTGTACTGTAACTTGTGAGTTGAAAGTTTCTAATCCATCAAAGAATATACCCGCTCCATCACGTTGAACTGGAATAGTGCATAAGAATGAAGTTTGGTCTTTCCATGTTCTAGCTAATGGCGTGCCATTATCATCATTCAGTGGTCTAGTTAATGAGTCCTCGTATTCTTCTGTGCATTCATTCACTCCATCTAAATCAGAAGCTTGAAGCATACGTGTAAAGAATATGTCGCCCACTGTGGTCATCGCTTGATCGGGGAAGTTTCTGGAATCTATAGTGACCTGAAGACCTCGAAGCATTGGATTTTCTAAAACTGTTCTTTGCATTGCATTCTTCGGAAATGTTAACACAACATCTGTAACATTATGAAGAGCGTATGAGAAATCTGAGCTAATACCTTCAGGAGTGATGCAACCTCCATTTAGTGAACGAACGTCAATATGTTGAGCTGGAATCATGAATGGATCTTCCTTACTAAATAAACGTGGTATTGCTTTAACTGATTCTTCAATTAAACCGTATCCTGGTGTAATGCATTTATCCTCTAAAACTTCCATCTTTGTGCATGAAATAGTTACGTCATCAACTGTTGCGTCAGCAGATGTAGCGGCTAAGCTTGTAATTAATTTGGCAGGAAGTCCGATTTGTTGGAATTTGCGATCATATTTATAAACATGATTCATAATCTTTTCATAATTTTCATCAGTTATCTTTTCATAAACGTAATTTTGTAAATCAGCAACTCTTAACGGGTCAACCTGACAAAATACTAAAGTATCCCTGAAAACATAATATTTAAGAATGATTTCACCAAATGATTTAGGATAATCATCGAACGCCTGAAATGCTAACAAATCATTTACCGGAATAATCATATCAAAAGTGATATCAACTTCTTCATTTGCTCTCTTGAAAACTTCTGAAGGGTCAATATATTTACCACATACTGAGTTATCATATTTTTGAACATTATTATATAACGAATGAACAAACTTTTTAACTTTCCTTTCTGATTTTGGTTTATATGTTGCAAATGCGAAAGATTCACGGGCACAATCCATCTGAAGATAACCAGCATCACCTCTTTCGGTTTCTACTTCTAATTGTTTAAAGCTTTGATTTGATGATTTGTAACCAACGAATAAACGCATGCATTTAAAAGCGGCATCACATGTGAAAGCTTTATTTGAAACTAGAGTTGCTTTAACTTTGCGTTTAATATATGTGTCACCTAATTGGTTCACATCATGAGCTGGATTTGTAATTCTTAAATGAGTTTGTTTATCATCAAAATATGGAGCATCAGAGTCATAGCATGAACTTTCAAGTTCTCTATAATATCTTCTACCGTCATTCTTTGCGAATATTTCATTTATCTTTTCGAATGAATGAAACACATTTCCATTAATCGGTTTAGTGTTTGGCACTAAATAGTTAGTCGTCATTTATTAATAAATAAAAAATCAAAATTAAAAGATGAAAATGAATTTTTAATTTTAATGAAATAATCAACTATGGCTGCAGGTATATTTTAAACTGTGGATAGTAAAAGAGGAGCGCATAAGTTTGGGAACAATGAAGAAGGGAGCAAATGGATATTTAAAAATAAAGAAGCAATTAGTGACGTTGCTGAATCAATAACACAAAAGCTGCCCCAATAAGAGAAATATTAAATAAAGGAGAAAAAGTTTATCAAAGACTTCAACCGATACTAAGATAAAAATAATTTATTTTTCCACTATCTACCTCCTATTTTATTAAGTATTCCTTCAGCAATTCCACCAACTGCGTTACCCGCTTGTGCTCCCATCGCCGGATTACCTGCTTTAGTACCTAATACCCCACCTATGATAGTTCCTGCCGTTTTCGCTACTGGTGCCAAAAAGTTTGCAACAGGTTTAATAATCTTTTTATAAACCCAACCCGCAGCTTTCTTAATTCCATCCCATAATTTTTAAAGAATCCTGCCGCCATTTCTGATTTAATATTAATTAAAAAATATATTTCATCACTTATATTCTAATTTTTATTTAATGATAAATGAAACCAATTTTAAAAATAAATGAAACAGGGGAGGAAGAAATAAATGAAAATGTTCAACAAAAAATAAATGTTGTTAAACCAATTACTGAAATAAAAATTTTTTCATCTGTTGAAGAATTTAATGACTATTATGCTAATAATAAAAAATTATTTGAAGAATTGACAACGTGTAAATTGAATAAAATGTTTAAAGTTGATGGATTCAAAATTTCAAAAATAAAAGGGGTGATTAGTTTGAAATCTATTCCTCAATCAAGAATCACCTCATTAATGAAAATAGATGATTTAACAAAAAGAATAGAAGTACAGTATACATTGTGCGTCGCCTGTAGCCTACAGCTACAGGCACCGACACAATGAAAAAAGTGACAGAAAACTGACACCATACGGGCGCGCATATGTACGCATATATGTGTAAAAATAAACGTTCATATGTAAACTAACCTTTATTCACTAGCAGGGGCTGATAAATCATAATCGTCGAGAAGTACGATAGGTGGTCCCACAGGTTTAATCTGTATGGAGAGGCAAACGTGACGTAAGAAGCATAACACTGGTTTCTCAGTATATTTAATAGACTCTGCTGTTGGCTTAACTGTAAGCTTATAAAAGAAGCAGATCACGGAGGCAAAGAAACGCTTACATCAACTCCTTGATGAACAATAAGCTTACTTAAGACTAAACAATTAATTATACTAACTTTTATACTTTTTCTCTTTTCCTAAGTTGATCGTGATCACAAAGATCGTGATCTGAGTGACAATGAACTATAAGTTATATGAGGATATATGTGAGTAATGTGAGTATAAAAAAAGAGTTATAGTAGTAAAATTAGGTGTTTATTCGTGGTTTAGAGGAGGGATCAGAAGTCAGTGGCTAAGTTCCTTATGGCGCGCTTTAATTCATGGTAGGATGTGTCAGCCTTAAGGAACCTTTCATGCCAGCTGTCTGACTCATGTCCCACACGGTTGAGACGAGATCGAAGATCGCAGATCTCGTTGGCATAAGAGTCAACTTTATACTCAAGCTGGCTGATGTAGAGCTCTTTACCTTTCGCTTCCTCTACTTTTTCAGCCAGCTTGAGCTTTAGTTCCTCGAGAGCTACGTTTGACTCCTCCAGCTGCTTCAAATACTTGTGGCTGGTCTTGATTAAACGTAGCTCTCGAGGAGTAGCTCGTGGACCCGTTTTCTTTGCCGTTTGCTTGTGATCGAGATCTGGGATCTTGATCTCGGTCTTCGGACTCTCGCCACCCATCAATATTTCCTCGTCGCCAGAGGACTGTTCTTCAGTCACCTCTGGCTTCTGGATGGCAAGAGCCTTAGCAGGAGCTGTGTTGTTCGCTTCCATTAAAAAATGTAAACTTTACGTGTCAAAATTTTTTGACACGTAAACTATTTATGTTGAGATTGAGTACCAGCCATTAATATAAGTTCAACCATTATATTAGAGTCTTTAGGAATTTCATATGGTTCTTTTACATAATATTCCTTTTTTTGACCATCAGTTGATTCTTCAACTCTTTTGAATGAAAAGCGCTTATAAAACTCAAACACGAGTGCATCTTTATAACCAGTGATATCGTAAAATTTTGGTGGCACAAGCTGTTCATTCACATTACATATAAATTGTTTGTTATCATGAGCAATATTACTCAACGTTACTAAAGGCTCAAGGAGAGGATTTATTCTTATCTGATAACCGACAAATTTATATGTTGGTTTGCCCTTTCGCTCAAGGATAAACCTGATATTCGCTATAGTTATGAAAAGCTCATCAAAGTACTTATATGTTTTTTTATCTTTATCATTTTCGTCAGTGAAATCTGCTATGGTAAAACTATAATATACATGCATTCGCGAGATATATTTTTTTTCCCATAAGTCTAAAAATTTTGCTTTCGATGGAATTACTTTTTGCGTGAATGTTCTACCATGGTCATCTTCCCAAACAAGCTCTGGTTTTCTTGATGTTGTGTCTGTTTCAGTGGTTTCTAATAACGCAGTGATGAAATCCAACACATCTCCTAGGGACATGTCATATTTATAATTCAAGGCATTTTTTTCTATACTACTGTATGAAGGTAATGTTATGATTGGTGATGTACCTTTTCTTAATACATTCAATTTATTTTCATTTGAATCATAGTAACAATCAACAAATTCTCTACTTGCCTCAGTCATTTTTTCCATAAGACCTTCATTCAACTCCTGTGTAGTCATGTTGGGTTTTATGTAATATCTCATGTCAAACCTTTTTTTCACTGATTTTGATGAATCTGTCATTTCTAATGGAATAGCAAGAAACTCAAAGTCTGGATGCTCAAGACTTATCTTTCTTATCTCAAGAGCTTTTGACGCAGGATATTCAATGAAGTCTCTCGGTAATTTATATGAGACTGTATTACCACTTATCGTGCCATCATTCATAACATGTTCATAGTATAATCCATCATATTTAGACATTTTATATGTAACTAAAAGATGGAGAAAGTTATTAATCAAGTAGATAAGATTCTTCATGATGGAGCACGTAAGAATAGTAAAGAACTAAACAATGCACTCATTATGCCATTTTCTGATGATTATCCATTTTGTACTAATGGTGTTTATTTCTACTGCGGTAAGATGGGTTCAGGTAAGACATATGGTGTTATTCGTCATATAATGATAACAGACCGCTTCACTAATACTCCATATTATGACTCAATAGTTATCTCAGCAACATCAGGAACAATGGATAAAACAGCGAAGACATTTATGAGTCAAGTTAAAGCACCAGTACTGAAAAAGGATGATAAAGAACTTATGCCTTATTTAATGAAGAACGTTAAGATGAAAGCAAAGTATTACGCTATTGTTGAGTTCGTTCAAAGTAAGTTCGAAAAAATTTCAGAGGAGATGGAACACATCTTAACAAAGCATCAACTAAGGAAACCTGATGGAAAGTTTGAGTATAAGAAGATTGCAATATATGTTGTAAAGAAGTTGAACAAATATCCTTTCACAAAGTATCCCAGTAATTCTCTATTAGTGTTAGACGATTATGGTGGTCATGACTTATTGAATGACCCACGTTCACCATTAGCGAACTTCATCACTAAGGTCAGACATTATAACTATACTGTTGTCATCATGTGTCAAACATGGAGACATATATGTTTAAACATTAAGAGACTATGCACTGACTTCGTTATCTTTCAAGGTTATTCTATGAGAGACTTTCAGTCAATGATTGAACAGTCAGGAGCAACAGAAG